ACTACCTACATTAAATTCCCTGCTAAAAGTTTAAAAATTACTTTTCTTGCAATACAAAAACATAAACGACGTCTGTTGTTGCCGTTATAAATTCGGTTGCCTATGTGGTCAATTCCGCTATCCTACATGTCACCTTCCAATGCTGACTCATCCCCGTGTAAGCAAGATTGCTAAGTTGTCGCCCAAGATTGACAAAATTTGTCAATCAAAGAGATAAACTGGGCAGCCCTCAAAAAATTCCATGCCAAAGTTTCATGAGTTAGATGATGCATTGATGACTGTATATGTGACTACTACAATGTCTGCTATAACCAAGGGTTTATGGCCCTGTTCTTTTGGACTGAAATAAATATAAAGATAGACATGATTTAAACTTAACATAATGAACTAATAGACATGAGCTAATTGAATTGATTAATAGAGTTGAACTAAACATAAATTCTGAAAAAGAAGTTCAAAAGAATAGAGCCAAAGACTACAACTCTATAAACAGCTAAAATGCTCGATGATTATTCCCTAAATTGATCACAGATTCACGGTTCTAAGGATGTATTCGAGTCAATCATTATTCGTACATGATCAACAAAGTTAGATTATAATCATTTGCAGCAACTTATATACGAGCGAGTACATGGAGTTCGGGTCACTCAATATGTCGATGTTCAGTAGGCTCAGAAAAATTGTCGAATGGTCAAAATTACATGACATTGATATAGGAACTGCTAAGGGCCTTGCATACTTGCATGAAGAGTGTCAAAAGAGGATTATTCATTACGATATTAATGAAAATTTTACAGTAGTCATTTGAAATATGACTACCATAATGTTTTCATGGTAATATAGTTCATAATTAATATATTTTTATTATAAAATAAGGGGAAAAGGGAGAAGATTAGAGAAAGAGAGATGTAGATGGTAATTGTATTGTCTATCTTCATCAATTTCATGACCATCTATATATATACAAGATGTGAACATTGTAACTTATATGGACAATGAAGAGTCCATTCATGAAAGGGTTAATGTGGACTAATGACAAAGCAGGGTTACAAGGATGCTATTAAAACCATACTTAAGGTAGTCATAAAAGAGATAATTACAAGCTATAATGGGCATACATTATTATTTTGTAACACTCCCCTTTGGATGCCCATTATCTAAGAGAGATTTAATGCGCTTATATGTTTCCTCATTAAAAACCTTTCCAGGAAAAACCCAGTGGGAAAAAACCATGGATAAGGGAAAAAGAGTGCAGCGCGCAATTACTCCCCCTCATTATTATATCACTGAAGATCTTTGAGACGGCGCAATCCAATACGATAAACTAACTTTTTAAATGTTGCGGTCGGAAGAGCCTTAGTGAATAAGTCTGCTAAATTTTCACTTGAACGAATCTGCAATAATTTTATATCTCCATTCTTCTGAAGATCATGAGTGAAGAAAATTTTGGGTAAGGATGTGCTTTGTTCTGTCACCTTTGATGTATCCATCCTTAAGTTGAGCAATACAAGCTGCATTATTCTCATATAAAGTTGTCGGTGCCTCTTTCCCAGATGATAAACCACAAACTTCTTTTATATGTTGAACTACCGACCTTAACCATACACATTCACGACTAGCCTCGTGAATTTCTAAAATCTCAGAATGATTGGAAGAAGTAGCTGCAATGGTTTGTTTCATGGAACGCCAAGAAATGGCAGTACCACCATATGTGAACACATATCCAGTTTGTGATCGACCATTATGAGGATCAGATAAATAACCTGCATATGCAAAACCAATCAAATTTTCTTTGGACAACTTTGGGAAAAATAAACCCGTATCCTTCGTACCTTGAAGGTAATGAAGTAAATGTTTATTCCCATTCCAATGCCTTCGGGTTGGACATGAACTTAACCTTGCTAATAAATTAACTGAAAATGATATGTCGGGTCTTGTATGACTTGCATGGTACATTAGTGCTCCAATTGCACTAAGATATGGTACTTCAGGACCAAGAATTTCTTCATCATTTTCCCGGGGTCGGAATGGATCTTTCTCTACTTCAAGTGATCTTACAACCATAGGGTTGCTCAATGGATGTGTTGTATCCATAGAAAATCTTTTAAGAACCTTTTCTATGTATGTTGATTGATGCACAAGGATTCCATTCTCTAGGTGCTCTATTTGTAACCCCAAGCAGAATTTTGTCTTTCCTAGACCTTTCATTTCGAACTCTTTCTTTAAATAATTGACAGTCACTGAGATCTCTTCAGGAGTTCCAATGATATTCAAATCATCAACATACACTGCAATTATAACAAATCCCGATCCAAATTTCTTTATGAAAATACATGGGCTGACAGGATCATTCTTATAACCTTCTTTCAACAAATACTCACTTAGACGGTTATACCACATACGCCCAGATTGTTTCAATCCATAAAGAGATTTGTTCAATTTAATACAAAAATGTTCTCGAGAACTAGATTTTGCTGCTTCTGGCAGCTTGAATCCTTCTAGGAGCTTCATGTAAATGTCATTATCCAGTGGGCCATATAAATAAGTTGTGACTACATCCATCAAATGTAAGTCAAGTCCTTCTCTTATTGTCAGACTAATCAGAAATCCAAAAGTAGTTGCATCCACCACAGGAGAATATGTCTCCTCATAATCAATACTAGGTCTTTGTGAGAATCCTTGTGCAACTAAGCGTGCCTTTTATCTTACAACTTCACCCTTTTCATTTCTCTTTCGCACAAAGGCCCATTTATATCCCAATGGCTTTACACCTTCAAGTGTACGGACTACAGGTCCGAATACTTCTCTTTTTCCAAGAGATTTTAATTCTGCTTCAATTGCTTCTTTCCATTTTGGCCAATCATTTCTTTGTCTACATTCTTCAATGGAATTTGGTTCATGATCCTCATTATTATCCATAACATCTAATGCTACATTGCATGCAAAAACATCATCGACGTCGATTTGATTTCGGTTCCATGTAATTCCAGACATGATATAATTTGTTGAAATTTCTTCATTATCAGGTACCTGAATTTCTTCTTGTATCATGTCTAAAGTCTCTTCTGGAGATCCTTCGGAAATTGTTTCTTCAATTTGACCATCATCAATCAATGCTCCTTTTCTTTTCCGATGATTCTTATCTTTGGAACCTATTGGTCTTCCACGTTTCTGACGTGGTTTAGGCTCATTAGCAAATTTATTTTGTCCTTCCGGGACATCTATTTTAAATGGAGCATTTACAGCTGGAATATGTGACTTGGTCACTCTTTTTAGGTCAGCAAACGAGTCTGGCAATTGATTTGCTAAACTTTGTTAATGAATTATCTTTTGAACTTCTAGTTCCCATTGTTTAGTTCGAGGATCAAGATAAGATAATGATAATTCATTCCATTCAATTTATTTTTAAAGCTCTCTCTTTTCTCCCCCTAATGTTGGGAAAAGTGACTCGTTAAAATGACAATCTGCAAAACGAGCCGTAAATAAATCCCCTGTTGTAGGCTCAAGATATTTAATTATTGACGGGGATTCATACCCAACATATATTCCCAACCTCCTTTGAGGAACCATCTTAGAGCGTTATGGTGGAGCTATTGGAACATAAATCGCACATCCAAAAATTCTTAGATGGGAAATATTTGGTTCCTGACCATAAACCAATTGTAATGGGGAGAACTTGTGATAACTTGTTGGTCTAATGCGAATTAGTGCTGCTGCATGTAATATAGCATGTCCCCAAGAAGAAATTGGGAGATTGGATTTCATAAGCAATGGTCTAGCAATTAACTGAATATGTTTAATTAATGACGACTCTGCCAGACCGTTTTGTGTAGAACATGAGCTACAAGATGTTCATCATTTATTCCAATGGACATGCAATAATCATTGAAAGCTTGATATGTAAATTCACCAGCATTATCAAGTCGAATAGCCTTAATGGGAGTATCTGGAAAATGTGCCCGTAACTTAATCAATTGGACAAGTAATCTCGCAAACGCCAGGTTACGAGTTGATAACAAAGACACATGTGACCATCTAGTTGATGCATCAATTAAAACCATAAATTATCTAAATGGTCCACATGGGGGATGTACGGGCCCACAAATATCACCTTGTATATGTTCCAGAAAACTAATTGATTCAAAATTAATTTTAGCTGGTGATGGGCGAATTATTAACTTGCCTTCTGAGCAAGCAACATATGAAAAATCATTATGAAGAATCTGTTGGCTCTTCAAAGAATGTCCACATGAATTCGTAATTATTTTTCGCATCATTATTGAACCGAGATAGCCTAACCGGTCATGCCAAACAACAAAATTATCAGTAAACTTCTGGTTTACTATAGCATGAGCTTCAATTGCATTGATTTTTGTGTAGTACAAACCACTGAAGAATGTAGGTAGTTTATCCAAAACATGTTTTCAGCCTTGATTTATATTTGTGATTTAAAGGAAATTCGTTATTATTTAAAACTTAATAAATTTCTTTGAGACAATGGGGAGTATAAAGCATCAATTATTTTAATTTCAGTTCCCCAAGGCAATATTATAGTGGCTCTTCCGGAGCCCTCAATGGTATTTGTACTACCCGATATGGTACTCACATTAATCCTTTTCATTATCAAATGAGAGAAATTTTTTTTTTTTAAGTATTGTATGAGTAGTTGCACTGTCAGCAAGACATAATTCTTCACCATTCATAGCAAATTGAACTTGAGTAATATCCATGTTCTTCATGAAATAAAATATATGTCAAAATATCACTAGGCGAAAATATGTAATGGCCACCGGTTGAAACCCCCCCCCCCATTGCCACCGGTTTTGAACCGGTGGTCATTTGGGGGGTGGAAATAAAGCAACGCAAGGCCACAATAATAATTATGGCCACCGGTTAACCGGTGGCAATGTAAATGGCGCGGTTTTTTTTTGGATTGGAAGACTGACTTTTGCCACCGGTTTGAACCGGTAAACGGATGGCAATAATAGGGATCTATTTTTTTTTTTTGCCTGCAATTATTCCTGCAACTGATCCTGCTATAATATTCTGCCATATTATTGCTATAAATTCTGCCATAATATAATTATTATTAATAATCATAACAAGAATTAAAAATATATATTTAGACATTTATAATTAAAAACCAAATGCAATACAACAAATAAAGTGTGATATATACATAAATACAAACAATACTAACTATTCAATATTGTAGTCTAAAAGTTAATGATTAACAAAGTATAAATTCAAAATGATGCCACATTTACAAATTGAAGGTGATGAAAGATGCCAACATGTCTCGAACTTCATTAAGGTCCTTGCTTGTTAACGGATCTCCCTTTTGCACCTTGCAAAACTTGGAATATATATAAATTATGTTAGAATGAATTAAATTAATTAGTTAAGTTAAACATGTGAGTAATAAATATGTAAGAAATTAAATACTTAGGTCAAAACGGTCTAAAAGAAGGCCTAAAAGACTTATACTTGCCCATTTTCTACATTTTTTAACTAATGACCATGCTGTTTCTCATAATATGTCAATTATATTTAGTTATATGTGGCTAAGCCTTGAAATCAAACAAAAAGAGCATTTTACTAAGTTTAAGGTCGCATTTTCATCCTAAATAGCCTAAATAAGGCCTAAATGACTTCTACTTGCCCATTATCTACATTTTTTTAACTAATGACCATGTTGTTTGTCATAATATATCAATTATATTTAGTTATAGGTGGCTAAGCCTTGAAATCACAGAAAAAGAGCATTTTACTAAGTTTAAGGTCGCATTTTCATCCTAAATAGCCTAAATAAGGCCTAAATGACTTCTACTTGCCCATTTTCTACATTTTTTAACTAATGACCATGTTCTTTCTTATAACATGTCAGTTATACTTAGTTATAGGTGGCTAAGCCTTGAAATCACAGAAAAAGAGCATTTTTCTAAGTTTAAGGTCGCATTTTCATCCTAAATAGCCTAAATAAGGCCTAAATGACTTCTACTTGCCCATTTTCTACATTTTTTAACTAATGAACATGTTCTTTCTCATAACATTTCAATTATACTTATTTATAGGTGGATAAGCCTTGAAATCACGTAAAAAGAGCATTTTTCTAAGTTTAAGGTCGCATTTTCATCCCAAATAGCCTAAATAAGGCCTAAATGACTTCTACTTGCCCATTTTCTACATTTTTTAACTAATGACCATGTTGTTTCTCATAAAATGTCACTTATACTTAGTTATAGGTGTCTAAGCCTTGAAATCACGTAAAAAGAGCATTTTTCTAAGTTAAAGGTCGCATTTTCATCCTAAATAGCCTAAATAAGGCCTAAATGACTTCTACTTGCCCATTTTCTACATTTTTAACTAATGACCATGTTGTTTCTCATAAAATGTCAATTATACTTAGTTATAGGTGGCTAAGCCTTGAAATCACGTAAAAAGAGCATTTTTCTAAGTTTAAGGTCGCATTTTCATCCTAAATAGCCTAAATAAGGCCTAAATGACTTCTACTTGCCCATTTTCTACATTATTTTAACTAATGATCATGTTCTTTCTCATAACATGTCAATTATACTTAGTTATAGGTGGCTAAGCCTTGAAATCACGTAAAAATAGCATTTTTCTAAGTTTAAGGTCGCATTTTCATCTTAAATAGCCTAAATAAGGCCTAAATGACTTCTACTTGCCCATTTTCTACATTTTATTAACCAATGACCATGTTCTTTCTCATAACATGTCAATTATACTTAGTTATAGGTGGCTAAGCATTGGAATCACGTAAAAAGAGCATTTTTCTAAGTTTAAGGTCGCATTTTCATCCTAAATAGCCTAAATAAGGCCTAAATGACTTCTACTTGCCCATTTTCTACATTTTTTAACTAATGACCATTTTGTTTCTCATAACATGTCACTTATACTTAGTTATAGGTGGATAAGCCTTGAAATTACGTAAAAAGAACATTTTTCTAAGTTTAAGGTCGTATTTTCATCCTAAATAGCCTAAATAAGGCCTAAATGACTTCTACTTGCCCATTTTCTACATTTTTTAACTAATGACCATGTTCTTTCTCATAACATGTCATTTGTACTTAGTTATAGGTGGCTAAGCCTTGAAATCACGTAAAAAGAGCATTTTTCTAAGTTTAAGGTCGCATTTTCATCTTAATTAGCCTAAATAAGGCCTAAATGACTTCTACTTGCCCATTTTCTACATTTTTTAACTAATGACCATGTTCGTTCTCATAACATATGGCTAAGCCTTGAAATCACGTAAAAAGAGCATTTTTCTAAGTTTAAGGTCGCATTTTCTTCCTAAATAGCCTAATTAAGGCCTAAATGACTTCTACTTGCCCATTTTCTACATTTTTTAACTAATGACCATGTTTTTTCTCATTACATGTCAATTATACTTAGTTATAGGTTGCTAAGCCTTGAAATCACGTTAAAAGAGCATTTTTCTAAGTTTAAGGCCGTACCTCACCAAGATGTATGGTATTGGTACAATGAGTCGCTATGTCAAGCATGAATCTCATCACGTATAATCCACAATCAACTTCATTATCTTGTTGTGGGCACTAGCATAGGAACAAATCAAATGAATCAAACGTCACATAAAATCCACAATTGTTTTAGCAATGTTTATTAAGATAATCACAATATGATGTGGCATTACCATAGGTGATTTCCATGTAGGACCCCGTGGAGCACGACCATGTATCTTCTTCATAATACTATAAGAAAGTAAATTCTAATTTGATTAGTTTGACTACTAAATGAGTTAGGTTAAGATAATCAACACTAGATAGCTATATTTACTTTTGTAGTACAGACATCACGAGGCACTTCTTTGTTGATCGAGCTGAATCAAGGTGAAAGATTGTGTTATTAGCTAGACAAATCACCATGAGGAACCAATGAAACCTACATAAATTCACAATACACAAACAAATCAATAATTAGGGTACAACATATAATTCAAATGTAGAAAGAATTGAATTACACATGGTTAAACGTACTCCTCATAACATGGGACGAATATTAGGGGTGAGCAAAACCGGGTACCCGGTCAAAAACTAAGGACCCAGTCCCGGAACCGGTTAGTACCGGGTCTAAGATTTTGCAACTGGTCCCGGAACCGGTATCAACCGGGTCCCAAAATTTTAGACCCGGAACCGGTGGGTACCGGTTCTAGAACCGGGTACCCGGTGTTATAGTTGACCAGCCATTAAAAAACTTGAAACCATAGAAAATTTCCAGAATATTGAGATGAACAAATTAAGATCTAAAATCTAACCAATACATGAATTATACACTACCAAATTAGTATGAGTCAAATAATCTATGTAAATTATAATTTAATATATAATCGAGCTTCTTCTTCGGGTCACCGCCCTTAACTATCACCTCTTCTCTCATTCTCTTAACATTGACGTGTTCTTCGTTGATGTGGTGGTGGTTCCGACTTCTTCATATGCCATGAATGAGAATTTGTAAGAGAGAACAGGTTCATAATATGTTTTTCGTCAAAAAAAAACAAAAAATAAAAAAAATAAGAATTTGATATAGATCTAAGAATATGGAAAAGGGTGGTTGATGAATTATTAGGTGATATTGGCTGGTGAAATTTGTGAAGATGGTGCATTTGGTGGGCGGTGAAGAGTAGTTTTAGGGTTTTAATAATAAGTACTCCTTATAAGATGAATGGGTTGTGAGTAAGTGGGCTGGTAATAACAAAAAAGGCCCAATATTTCATTTGTTTACTGAATTCCAAAATTTTAGATGACTTGAAGAACTCGTTCCGGGTACCCACCGGGTACCAGGTCCAATTTTTCAAAAATTGGAACCGAAACCGGTTACAACCGGTTCTTAATTTTTGGACCCGGACTTGGAACCGGTGGGACCAGTTCCAAGTCTAGACCCGCCGGGTCCAAACCGGTTCCGGGTCCGGGACTGGGTACCTATTTTTTTTTGCTCACCCCTAGCGAATATGAACTTGTCTCCCGCACGCATTGATTCCCTAATACTATGATTAACATAATACATCATCTCGGGGGAGTTGTGTAAGATTCTAGTCTCGGATGTCTGTTCGGGGCATAACCACCCAACTTTACTAGGGGAATCAGTGTCACTTAAGTGCTCCCGTAGTGCTCTGCGTGCATGGACAATGAAAAATTAATTGACATATATATAAAGGATAAACAACACTAATATGAATAACATAATTAATTTAAGTGGCATGTGCCCGTACCTCATGAATATTTGAATGAGAGAAATGTTAAGCATTGAACCTCTTAAAAATTCCTTCACATCTTGTTTGTTTAACCATGCACTTGCATCCTCATCATAATGGAACATTGCCTTAGGAAGTGCAATTTCAATGGGATCGTCACTAGGCAAATGACTAAAACGATTGTGTAGAAAAGTTAAATCCTTAGTGAGCGATTGAAGGACATTGTCTCCAACAAGTGGAGTAGGTTGCATGGCTGAACCTTTCGAAGAATTCTTTTTCGGCACTTGTTCACTCTTCGACCCCTGTTCACTCATCTTCTTTGTAGGTTGATCAACGCTTTTAGGCTTCTCCACCTTCCTTCTCTTTGATGATTGACTTTTTTTCGAAATCTGATCAAACAAAGATAATTAGAGTTCAAAAATTTTTGGCCAGGGGTTAAGCTAGTAAGTACGCATGCAGATTTGTTATTTTGCACAACATCAAAATAAATATTACCTCGTTGATCAACCTCACCCAAGCACGCGGCCATTGCACATAGCTACCCTTTGCTTCCCAAAGAAGAGTAATCCCATCATCCACTATAAGCACCGGTAGTGGGATGTTTTCGAACCCAGCAATGTAAGAATTGATCCCGACCGAGTAATGTTGTGGCCTAAGCGATTGGAAATGGACCGTATCACCAGTCGTCGCTTGTGCACTATCATACGCCACCAACTGCAAATCTCCTCCATTTGATAGCCCCGGGGCTAGAAGTGTACACTCGGTCTCTACCTACACCAATAACGAAATTCACTTGTAAAAACTGAAATTATCAAAAGGGTCTTTTCCTACACAATTGATCATGTAACAAAATTCACTATGTTAAAACCAAACACGCTCCCTCGAATCCTAAATTCACCTCTAAATCTGGAAATTCATGGGGTGTTTGATTATCAACCTCTCTCGAGTCCGCATGTGTGGGAGTAACAACCTGCAATAATTAATCAATAATGCCACATTAGATCTCACGTAACTCACTAGCTAGGCCAAAACTAATAGATAGAAAACTACCTCATGTATCTCCTCTTCTCCATGTCTCTCATCTTCTCCTTGTCCTTTTGGGTGACTACTTGAGTCGACCGGTGTAGTCGGGGGGAACGGAAAGGGTAAGTTCATTTGCTTCGCCCAAGCATTGAATTCACCTATTAACTCATTGCGAACTTGTTCCTTGATGGATGCCACCTTGGCATCCAATTCTTCCGGTGCGTTAACACTTGCTCGAGATCTTCCAATTTTTGTGTATTCTGAACCCATCACCTTTTCCCATCCTAGCAACGTCCCTCCCATACCTACTACCCGGCCTGGATGGTAGGGCTTTCCCAAAGCCAAGGTGAAAGGGTCTTTCTCTATAGTCGGGACCAGCTTGCCTTCAACAACTTCTATAGTGTACTCAAGCTGTAGCATAAGAAAAAATGTTAACATGAATACATATAATGCTTTTGTATGGTAAAGTTATGCTAAAGTTTCAAATAGCTTACAAGTTTATCAGCCACTTTTTTTTCCGGTTCCTTGATGACCCATTTTCGGTGTCCTTATCAAAGGAATGTAGAGAACAAATGAAATCGCCAGCACGACTAACCAACGTAGTGATCGTGGAGTTGGAGGGTTCTTCGGATGACCCTTGAGTCAAAGTGGGGTATATACCCTCCTTCTTCCAAGTTTGCCTCCATTCACCAAATGTCTTGGCCCCCGTACGATGGCGATACTCCTTCTGCAATGCATTTGCCTTGTTTTGCTCTCGAATTTCCTACAGAAATAGTAATGTTAGCATCATTACTGCAAAAAGAGTCAATATATTATACAATTCTCATTAGATTTAGTAGTTCTTACAATTGCTTTGGGTCAAGTTTTTTGAATAACAAAGTCTTTCCACTCGTCCTCCGTCACGCTGTAGGCGTCGCTCGAAGTGCGCCTACGTAAAAGCATATTGTGAATATGCTTGGCACTCATAGGAAGTGGGAATTGACATTACGATTAGGGACAACGATTAGGGACAAATAAAGTAGGGAACCACCAACAAGTTTTTTTTGGAACTTGTAAACCGTTCACGGATCATAAAAAGGCAACCACGATAAGAAACAACGATAGGCAATAAAAATTGACCCGTGAAGGTTACACCCCATTCATAATCCATGAGATTACTAACTCCATATGGTTCGGAACCACGAAAGGAGGATCGGGGATGATGGTACGAAGTGAGTCATGGAGTCACATTCGCCCGTATTGGCCTCTACTCAGTTCTTATAGTGAAAAGCATTCCTGTGATCTCAAAGGCATACAAACAAAATATTCAATTCGCTCCAAACTATTATTAAGCTAAATTGGTTTAATATTAATGCAACACATAATTCTAAAATATTTGTGATCACTTGAATTAAACAACAAGATTAAAAAGGAACTTAAACCGGTTGTCCATATTATCTTATTAATCGTGATTTTCAATTACATATTCCCTTTAAACATGCAATATGGTGATCATAAAAATAATAATAGAATAAACATTAATATTGGAAGCAATTCAACAATAATAGCGTTAGTCAAATTAAATACAAAATAACCTAATCATGATACTAGCAATAAGAAAATAAAATAAGAGTAATTAAAATAATTAATTACTCACATTCCGCGCGTTCCTTTAAATTGCTACATCATGAATAAACTGTTAGTAACTTCAATAAAAATATAAAGCAAATTAAAATTAAATTAATATAGAGTTGATTTGGTCCAAACCCTCAGTTAATTATAACTTTCACGCCTTGGTTTAAGTATAGAACTTTGGGTATTGTATGAACTCCTTGGAGTGCTTAAGGGAAGAATGGTGTAATTAGGAATATAGGTTTAAGGCTTAGAATATGGGAGAGAGAGAAGAGAATGATTTTTTGGTGTAAAAGAGAGAAAAAGAGAAGGATTTGATGATCAAGCTTGTTGATGATTGGAAAAGGGGAGATATGACCTCTATTTATAGAGAAAAAAGAAGGGTCGAAGAAAACAAGATAAGATCCGAATTAAATCGGAATAAAACTCGATAGACTTCAGTTTTTGCGGTTTTTGTTTTTATCATATCTTTTGATCCAGAAATCGGAATAAGATGAATAAGATATAGTTGGAAAGATCTTGAAGTCTACTTTTTAATCCATATGGAATCAGATTAAAATATTTTGTAGAACAAAATATATAGTCGAAATAGTGAGACGGTATCAGTTTTAGGCCGAGTTTAATGTTTTGCTCATATATTTTTCGTTATAGCTCGGAATTGGGCTTATGATATATGGTTGGAAAGCTTATTTAAAGGCCTATCCAACAAAAATAATAATTGGATCAAAATTGTATAGCCATAAAATCAGTTTCTCTTAGATTTTGCGATGTGGACACGAAAATTGGAAAATAGGTTATGGTTTAGGGAAATGAGCTAGAAATTGTATTGGTTCATGAAATATATTGGATAGAACATGGATATAAGCACTCCAAATATTAAATACTCAACTCGACAAATAATGGCGGTGAAAGGTGTTCATCAACGGGTTTGGTTTGGGGAGACATTTTTAGGTGTCTAAAGAAGCCCCCACTTTGACTGAGTTTGTAGAAACGTCAGTTTCGAAAACGATAATCAAAGTAGCCGATAGGGACGGAGAATGATTTAAGACGTTCTGCGATCCTAAATCATTCTGTATACGCCGATACCTGCAGAAAAATGTTAGTTCTACAGATAAAAGAGTAAAGGGATAGAATGCTTATCTAACACCAGTGTATCGGTGGCAAATGAGCTTGGTAGCTTCCTATGCTTGAAGGAATCCACCGGATGACGTTTGTTGAAACGCTTTCCATGCCTGAGGAAAGCCGACTGAGGAGTTTGGTAGTTTTCTAAGCCCGAAGAAACCTACCGGATAATACTTTCCATGCTTGAGGAAAGTCGACGTATGAATTTGGTGTCATTCTATGCTTGAAGAAATCCACTGATGATGCTTTCCATGCTTGAGGAAAGCCGACTTGGCTGTTTTCTATACTTGAAGAAAAATCCACCGATAACGCTTTCCAAGCTTGAGGAAAGCCGACTTGGCGGTTTCCTATACTTGAAGAAAAATCCACCGATAACGCTTTCCAAGCCTGAGGAAAGCCGACTGATGAATATGGTGTCATTCTATGCTTGAAGAATTCCACCGATAATGCCTTCCATGCTTGAGGAAAGCCGATTTGGCGGTTTTCTATACTTGAAGAAAAATCCACCGATAACGCTTTCCATGCTTGAGGAAAGCCGACTTGGCGGTTTTCTATACTTGAAGAAAAATCCACCGATAACGCTTTCCATGCTTGAGGAAAGCCGACTTGGCGGTTTTCTATGCTTGAAGAAATCCACCGGATAATACTTTCCATGCTTGAGGAAAGTCGACAGATGATGAGATTGCAAGTCTCTGTGTATCGAGAACCTTGCGTCATGAAATGATGGTGGTTCGATTGTCCCCGAACGTGGGCTGTAGATGGTCCGCTTGTCCCCGGACGTGGACTGTAGTTGGTTCGCTTGTCCCCGAACGTGGGCTGTAAATGGTTCGCTTGTCCCCGAACGTGGGCTGTAGATGGTCCGCTTGTCCCCGGACGTGGGCTGTAGATGGTCCGCTTGTCCCCGGACGTGGGCTGTAGATGGTCCGCTTGTCCCCGAACGTGGGCTGTAGATGGTCCGCTTGTCCCCGAACGTGGGCTGTAAATGGTTCGCTTGTCCACAAACGTCGGATGTAGATGAGACTTGCAAAAATAAATTTGCCAATGGACTCGTATATATTGTGATTGACTTAACCACTGACTTGATGTGATATGACATGTGTATGACTTGTGAGTCTGTGTGTGTGTATATGTGTGTGTGCAGACACAAGCAAACGAAAGATGCAAAAGCAAAAATTTTCCGTCAATTTTTGTCATCAGTGGAGTGTACCGACTTTCCTTGGCCATTTTTTCCACGGTGGGTCTTGTTCCTCAACGTCTTCCTCATTTCCATCTTCACCATCATTCCCCTTGGAAGCTTTCTTCTTGTGTTTCTTTTTCTTATAGATCCATCCACTGGTCAAGTGGGTCTTGAAGCCTTTGAATCTCTCCGCTAGTAAAGAATCAAACACCCTTCTCTTCTGGGGATCATTAGGAATATTAAACAGCTTCTGCAATCACAAATACAAGCAATTATTATTTTCCATTTACAAACAACCATTAGGTGAAATTATTTGTAATTGTGTAAATGTGCATTTGAACAAAACACTTGCCCTGGTATCATCCCAAAATGTTTGAATCAAGCCTGGAGGTACTTGCTTCCAACAAAGTGTAATGGGGATTTTGCGCGAACATATGCCAACTTGGTTTGCATATTTCCGAATCCATTGGCCAGTAGGTTGACCT